TACGACTAAATCGACTTTACAAACATGGGCAATTTTAGCGAGCGCGTAAATCGGTATTTTTTGACCAGTTGCCTCGTATTTATTCACGGTAGAAACGGCCACTCCTAACTCGTAAGCCAGTTCTTTCTGCGTAAAACCTGCCTGTAAACGGGCGTCCCCAATCAGATGGCCGATTTGTTCCAGGCTAGTCTCTTCATCCGTTGCCTTCAAAACCACATGCTTACTTGAACCATAAAGGAATGCGTTCTAAAAAAATCAGACTTAGTATCGATGAAAAATCATTTGGTCAGCCCGCCCGATGATTAAAGCGAGAAGTCGCCAGCAGCTTCAGGTTGATACAGAATATAATCTATCTTAACTCGCACCGTACCATAGGGGGTTAGTAAACAGACGAGATCATTGACTTTTCTGCCTAACAAAGCCGTCGCTATAGGAGCTAGAACAGAGACTTTAGATTGGGTACTATCGGCTTCTTCGGGATAGACTATTTGAAGGCTTACTGTCTTTTGACTGTCCGGATAACTCAGTTTAACCCGGGTATGCATGGTGACCACATTCGCTGGTATGCTGGCTGGGTCAAGCAGGGTAGCGCTATTAACGCCCCGTACTAACGTAATTAGCTGGCTACTGGATACCTGGCGATCGGGTTTTATCTGGCCGATCCGTAGCTTCAGCCGCTGATAATCCAGCTGGCTAATAATTCGATTTGTCATGGATGGATTCTTTTTTAAAGTATAAAAAATATGGATTTTCAATGTAGTTGAAGTTTGGAAACTGATGGCCGAGCCCACTCGACTTAACTAGGAGTCGCTGACTGAGCAGCCCTATTTCTTCATAAAAAAAGGTGTAAAACTAGATTTAGACCGGAGACCCTTGACGAACAAAAAACTGAATCGGGTGGGGATGACTTTTCTGAACGTATTCCGAAACAGCCTCCTGTAAAAGGGAACTAAGCGTATCCGGCTAATAAGGTATTTTATATACCTTTTAAGAGTCAGTCGCTACCAGAATTGGCGGCCTGTTTAGCCACCCATGCCACAGGTATCTTAAAACCTGTTTTTTCCTACAAGCGCATGTGAACGAGCCCCCATCTTTTTGCCTGTATAGTCGGTTAGTAAAGCTAATCTTACCGACTAGGTACGGGGCTGGTTAATTTATCCATTAACGACAAGTATCTGTCCAAACGGTGTGGTTGAACTCCTCCTGATAATGGCTTATCACACCGATGGGACGGTAGGCAATTCAGTAACTGAAAGTCAGTATCCGTTGATCGCCGAATGCCTTCAAAGGAGGTAATTAGTGACGCATACTGACGTTGCTGGATTCGATCCAACTCTGCTACCAGCGGAATCATATATAGGCTCCCAATCAGAAACAGACTATTAATTGATCGCCCCTGGTTGTACGCAGTCGAAGCGACGGGATTGTTAGTTGATGTACTCATGAGGTTGCTGTTTACTTCGTTCGGTTACCGATCCAGCTTAGTCCTGGTGGGCATCACCCCTGCATACCACTCGCCAGTAAGGCTATTCAAATAACCCCCTATTTTGAAAGACAGTTGAATAATCTATTCGGAATGTTTAATTTGTAATTTTATAGCTGTAAATTTACAACTGTAAAAATACAAATCAAAATTTTTAACTATGTTTTCGTCTTATTTACCCAAGTTCCCTGTTTCACTGCGGCTTCCATCAGTCACTTTGCTGACGGGTGCCGCCCTAAGCTGGACGTACTGGCGAAAATGACCTGCTCGATCGGAGCGCCGCAGAAATAGGTTTGGCCTTTACCCAGTAAGCGTATTGAGTCAGCTTCTTTTGACCACTAATTGGTCAGAAGATCGGTTAAGGTCAGTAGCTTAGCTTGCCTAAAACAACGATTGTAAAGCAATTGATTTGGGCGTCAATGCTTTACCATGCACAGGATCCTATGAATGCCCACCCCTCAGTATATAGATTGATGGACCCGGTAAAAAACACGATATTATTTACACTGGTCTACAAGGGCGAGGAATGGCCGGTACAGACACATAGACATAAATACCATTCGCTGATGAGCCTTATTTCAGCTTATCTCCCAGTGGTCGGGTTTGGCTTGTGCAGTGGCATGGGTAGTTGCGGCACCTGCGTCGTCGAAATCGACGGTATACGAAGCCTGTCCTGTGGGGTAGCCGTTAGTGATGAACTGGCCAACACGCGCATCGTGGTCCGGCAGTTGGGCATCTAACTGTTCAGCTATGTAAATGGGTACGGAACCAGTTAATCATCAGCCTGGCCTGTTCAGGAATACTAGCTCGCTCTGCTATATCAGGGGAATCCAATCGAAAAATGGTTACGTTTCGGTTAAGGTACTTTTCATCGTAAGCGTTTTGATTTTTACGAATAAGTGACCCTTCCAAACGGCTTACCACCAGTAAAACAGGAACCTGCACGGTAGCCAGATGACTTAGAATCCGATCAGGTCTACTCCCCCGTGAGACAACCGTTCGTACTGAATTGGAGAGTTGAGTGGCTGCTTTCAACGCACTACTGGCTGCCGTGTTATCCCCTAAATAGCCAATTGGTAATTCCTGCAAATCCAGGTGACCTTGACACCAGGCGGTTACCTGCACTAGGCGGGTGGCTAGTAAGTCAACATTCGACCGGTTACTGTAGTCCTCATCTTCTTCAATAGTCAATAAATCAACCAGCAGCGTACCTAGTCCCTGCTCATGAAATTGCTGCATCAGCAACCGGTTGCACAAATTAAACCGGCTACAACTACTCCCATTTGAAAAAATAATAAGTCCATCGGCCTGCTGAGGGATCCACCAGTCGGCGTAGAGCTTAACGTTCTCAAGAGGAATTGTCACCAACGTGGGGCCTGATATGAGTTTCATCACCGAAACAAGTTTACGAATGACAAGATTAGGTCGATTGCTTAAACTGGTCGTTCAGGTTTTGGGCATTGATTTCTTTTTCAACAGCAATCTGCTCGTTTTCGTGGGGCAGGTTGGATTCAGGCGTTTGCGAATAGGGCACGTTCTGGGGAATAAAATCTTCTCTGGCTCCCGGCTTGCTGTAATCGTACGACCAGCGATAGACCGCTGGAATCTCGCCCGGCCAGTTGCCATGACCCGGATGGATGGGTGCGGTCCACTCCAGGGTAGTTGACCGCCAGGGATTCTGCGTGGCTTTGCGGCCTTTGACCATACTATAGAAGAAATTCCAGACAAAAATCCACTGCGCCGTGAACGTCACAACAGCCGCTATGGTAATAAAACTATTCATGTCAACGAAGGTAGACTTCATGAAATCGTAACTGGTAAATGAATAATATCGACGGGGGAAACCGGCAATGCCCAGGTAGTGCATTGGGAAAAAGATAAGGTAAACCCCAATGAAGGTCAGCCAGAAGTGGATATACCCCAGCCGTTCGTTCATCATACGCCCGAACATCTTCGGAAACCAGTGGTAAACACCAGCCAGTAAGCCAAACGCCGACGCGGCTCCCATCACCAAGTGAAAGTGTGCCACGATAAAGTAGGTGTCGTGCAACTGGATGTCCAGAGCCGAACTCCCCATGATAATACCCGTTAGCCCGCCCGAAATAAATACGGAAACGAACCCAATGGCAAACAGCATAGCCGGTGTAAAATGGAGATTGCCACGCCATAAGGTAGTGATATAATTAAAGGACTTAACGGCCGAAGGAACCGCAATAATCAGCGTTAAAAACATGAAAACTGATCCCAGAAAGGGGTTCATTCCCGATACAAACATGTGGTGCGCCCAAACTACAAACGACAGGAAAGCGATGCCCATCAGGGAGGCAATCATGGCCCGGTAACCAAAAATAGGTTTACGGGCGTTCGTGGCCATGACTTCCGAAATAATACCAAAGGCGGGAAGGATAACGATGTACACTTCCGGGTGACCCAGGAACCAGAATAAATGCTGAAACAAAATGGGGCTACCACCAACGTTAGGCAGGGCTTCACCTTTGATATAAATTTCGGACAGGTAAAAACTGGTGCCAAAACTCCGGTCGAAAATCAGCAGCAGTACCGCCGCAAACAAAACGGGGAATGAAATCAGACCCAGTACCGCCGTTAATAAAAATCCCCAGATGGTGAGTGGCAACTTACTGAACGACATGCCACGGGTTCGTAGATTGATAACCGTTGTGATGTAGTTGATGCCACCCAGTAGCTGAGAAACAATGAACAGGGCCATGCTGATGAGCCAAAGTGTCA